ACACAAACGTACATATAAACGCACACAAAAACACATTTACACAATCATGCACACAAGCACACAGATCCACATGCACACACACACACACACACACACACACACACATAAACAATAGCACACAAGCATACATACACACACATACATACCAACACACACAAACCAACACAAATAAACACACACACACAAAAGGACGCAAACATAAAACACACATACACAAACACACACAAAAAACTAACACAAAAAACACACACACAAAAACACATTCGCACAAACATGTACACACGCACACACATACACGTACACAGAAGCACAGACATAAATGCACGCAAACATACACACAAAAACACAAACACACACACAAACACACGTACACACGTACACACAAACACAATCAAGGAACCTAACACACACACACGCACATGCACGCACCCAAAAGCACACACGTGTAAGCACACAAAAAAACACACACACACACACTCAGAGCCTGCAGGAGTGATGAGATCAGCTGGTAGTCGTCTCCAGACAGACAGATAATGATGTTTAACTGATTTCCCTCCCACACACACACACACACGTTCTCCTCAGTCAGACATGTTTTCTCCAGGACAGACTCAGCGTGGTGTTTAAAGCAGGAACAGAGGGACAGAGCGCCGGCATCATGTTGCACGCGCAAACACACACAAACATTTAGAAAACAGAGAAATGAAGCCGACGTCAAACCAAACACTTGACATGATGTGATGTCGTTCGCATTTAAACAGGTGTGTGTGTGTGTGTGTGTGTGTGTGTGTGTGTGTGTGTGTGTGTGTGTGTGTGTTTATTAAAAACGTTTGGATAACTGCATAAGTGCAAGTTAGGACAGATGCTAAATAAATAAATACATTTTAAATTAATAAATAAATAAAAAGTTTAATAATAAAAAGTTTTTGTTCTTGTTTAATACTTTTTCTTTATTTTTTAAAAATGTATTTGCCCTGATAATCTTTAATCAAATATCATAACCTTTCCTTTCCCTCCAAAAAACTTTTCTTTACTTTTGGTCACATCGAACACCTTTAGGGCGGGGCTATCAGTCATTTAGGGCGGGGCTATCAGTCATTTAGAGTGTGGCTATCAGTCATTTAGGGCGGGGCTATCAGTCATTTAGAGTGTGGCTATCAGTCATTTAGGGTGTGGCTATGAGTCATTTAGGGCAGGGCTATTAGTCATTCAGGGTGTGGCTATCAGTCATTTAGGTTAGACCTACCAGTCATTTAGGGCGTGGCTATCAGTTATTTAGGGCGGGGCTATCAGTCATTTAGGTCGGAACTACCAGTCATTTAGGGTGGGGCTATCAGTCATTTAGGGTGGGGCTATCAGTCATTCAGGGTGTGGCTATCAGTCATTCAGGGTGTGGCTATCAGTCATTTAGGGCATGGCTATCAGTCATTTAGGGCGGGGCTATCAGTCATTTAGATTGTGGCTATCAGTCATTTAGGGCGTGGCTATGAGTCATTTAGGGTGGGGCTATCAGTCATTCAGGGTGTGGCTATCAGTCATTTAGGTTAGACCTACCAGTCATTTAGGGCGTGGCTATCAGTCATTTAGGGCGGGGCTATCAGTCATTTAGAGTGTGGCTATCAGTCATTTAGGGTGTGGCTATCAGTCATTTAGGGCAGGGCTATCAGTCATTCAGGGTGTGGCTATCAGTCATTTAGGTTAGACCTATCAGTCATTTAGGGCGTGGCTATCTGTCATTTAGGGTGTGGCTATGAGTCATTTAGATTGTGGCTCTTTGTGGGGTAGGGCGTGGCTATGAGTCATTTAGGGCAGGGCTATTAGTCATTCAGGGTGTGGCTATCAGTCATTTAGGTTAGACCTATCAGTCATTTAGGGCGTGGCTATCTGTCATTTAGGGCAGGGCTATTAGTCATTCAGAGTGTGGCTATCAGTCATTTAGGTTAGACCTATCAGTCATTTAGGGCGTGGCTATCTGTCATTTAGGGTGGGGCTATCAGTCATTTAGGGTGTGGCTATCTGTTATTTAGGGCGGGGCTATCAGTCATTTAGGTCGGAACTACCAGTCATTTAGGGTGGGGCTATCAGTCATTTAGGGCGTGGCTATGAGTCATTTAGGGCAGGGCTATTAGTCATTCAGGGTGTGGCTATCAGTCATTTAGGTTAGACCTATCAGTCATTTAGGGCGTGGCTATCTGTCATTTAGGGTGGGGCTATCAGTCATTTAGGGTGTGGCTATGAGTCATTTAGGGCAGGGCTATCAGTCATTTAGGGAGGGGCTATCAGTCATTTAGGGTGTGGCTATGAGTCATTTAGGGCAGGGCTATCAGTCATAAGGGTGTCATGATCCTCCAAATCCTCGATTCGATTACATTTTTGATTCTAAAGGCACGATTCGATTTGATTTTCGATTATGAATAATTAATTAATGACAAATTAATTATTTGTAGCCTACCGTTTAAACTACCTGACCTGCATGGTCTTTGCTTTACCCATAAACAAATCATACAGTAAATGAATAAAGGCAAGTTACACACATAATTACCACCTGTCAATCACTTTTTCTCCGGGACTGAATAGGCAGTGATCTGTGTTGTTATAATGGCGTCTATAAAAAAAGACGCACAACCAACAGGAACCAGCTAACAGTATCTGAGGTGTTCGCTAAAATGACTAAGTACAAGTGAGTGAAAGATTGAAGCAGTCCTCTGACTGCCTGGACCTGCTGTCTGGAGCGCATGGCTGTCTGTGTCTGTGTCTGTGTGGTCACGTGATGTGCATTTTCAGAGGTAGAGAGGAAGGAGGGCTGCTCAGAAATGCTACACGCCACTGTGGATGTCAAATCGTTGTCGTTCTAAAATGCCATTTAAAAACAAAGACAGTGTAAACAGGGTCTGAGTGTGTACTTTTCGCGAGCGGATTTGCAACGGGGGCGGGCGGAGAATCGCGATGCCGGTGTCGTCTATCGGACGAACCGTACCTAATACGTACATAGCAGAGCTTGCAAAACTGTGTTTTATTTTTGTCGACAACACGAACGTTGTCAACATAACTCACTGGAAATCCAAAATGCTTACACACCTGCGACTTCATTGAAAGAGGAGAGGGTTTAAGTTCTGTCGACGGGTCTCCTGCTTCTGCAGTTTAACAAGCACTTCAACAAGCCTGTTTTTTTCCTGCTTGGCAAGCCAAGCTGACGTGACATGGGGGCGTGGCAGCATCGACAATTCTATTTTTTGATTCGATAATCGAAATTAAGCATAAATTTCGATCGATTTCGATTAAATCGTGACACCCCTAATCAGTCAATTAGGGAGGGGCTATCAGTCATTTAGGGAGGGGCTATCAGTCATTTAGGGAGGGGCTATCAGGGCGTGTCTCATTTCTGCTCTAGTTTTGTCCATTCATCATTCTTCCTTCATTTTGTTAGCAACACCCATCTTCCAAGTAACTAGTCAGTTACCAAAAACAAAATCATGCACCGCATTACATTTTTTCTCATTTTAGGACTGTTTTAAGTGGATGGACATCATGATAGCGGAAAAAAGGACAATCTTAACTTCTGTTTCATGTCAACTTCAAAGCATAACACTGACACTTTTCACATCTGAACCTGGTGAAAGTGCAAAGTGATGTCTTACCGACAGATGGCGCCCTCTGGTGGTGTGGAGGACACTCCAGCGTGCCCTGCTGCGTGCGGCCGAACATGGCAGAATAAACGGCGATCTGCATCCCTGTCTTACAGCCCAACCGCAGACGCTCTCCTTCACACACCACCTTACTCTTGTACTCGTCTACAGAAAGAAAACACACACTATAAAGCATTTGATTGGACGGAAGATTTGATGAGAAACTAAAGTATGAGCTGATGTAAAAAAAAAAATTGATGATCCCTTTTAAGCAGAAGTACAAACTGCAAGCTTTGGATGTTTGTCCATATACATTAGATTAGTCAGTAGCAGAGCCAAAACTGCAAGTAATCTAAAAACAAACCTAAGATCACAGTCCAAACATTTCCACTCTCAAATTATTATGTTTGGAGGAAATATTAAAGGGCTGGTCCACTACGATATCATCCATGTTAAGCTGCTTTGACATAATCTGCATTGTAAAAAGTTCTACAGAAAGAAAGATGAACTGAATTTTGTATTTTTTTATTCTAGAAGACTTTAAAATTCATAAGATCAGCTATAAAGCAGCTCTATAGAAGACAAAAGTGTGGTCCTTGAGCTGAAAGCAGTGTGTTTGTGTCTATGGAGCTTTCACAGACACAGTGACCTGTGACTGAGGTGCAGAGCTTTATTTTCCAGACCTGCATGAGAGGAAGGAAAGAAGTGGACAGATTTCTTTGCTCAGCTAACAGAACACAATAACCTGCTGAAAACGCTGTGTGTGTGTGTGTGTGTGTGTGTGTGTGTGTGTGTGTGTGTGTGTGTGTGAAACTCACTCGGCCTGCACTTGTAGCGCACACTGAGGTATTTGCTGATGTTCGGGCAGGGGTCCGTCCCAAACAAACGACTGTTGACGAGAACCTGACATCTCCGTCTGTCCTCACATTCATCCAGCATTTTCTGCAGAGAGACAGACAGAAGCTGTGAGACAGACAGATAAAAAGACAGATTCAGAATGACCTACAGAGACTGAGAGACGGATGAAGACAGACAGACAGACAGGCAGACAGACAGACAGACAGACAGACAGACAGACAGACAGGCAGGTAGGCAGACAAATAAAGACAGACAGATGAGGACAGACAAACAGACAGCAAATAAACACCAACATATGAGGACAGACATTCAGACAGACAGACAGACAGACAGGCAGACAGGCAGACAGATAGACAGACAGACAGACAGACAGACAAATAAGGACAGACAGACAGACAGACAGACAAATAAAGACAGACCGATGAGGACAGACGAACAGACAGACAGACAGGCAGACAGACAGGCAGGCAGGCAGACAAATAAAGACAGACTGATGAGGACATACAAACAGACAGACAAACAGGCAGACAGACAGACAGACAGACAGACAGACAGACAGGCAGGTAGGCAGACAAATAAAGACAGACTGATGAGGACAGACAAACAGACAGGCAGATAGGCAGACAGGCAGATAGGCAGACAAATAAAGACAGACAGATGAGGACATACAAACAGACAGAAAAACAGACAAACAGAGACAAATAAACACCGACATATGAGGACAGACATTCAGACAGACAAACAGACAGACAGGCAGGCAGGCAGACAGACAGACAGACAAATAAGGACAGACAGACAGACAGACAGACAAATAAAGACAGACCGATGAGGACAGACAAACAGACAGACAAACAGACAGACAGACAGACAGACAGACAGACAGACAGACAAATGAACACCGACATATGAGGACAGACATTCAGACAGACAAACAGACAGACAGACAGGCAGGCAGACAGACAGACAGACAGATAGACAGACAGACAAATAAGGACAGACAGGCAGACAGACAGGCAGGCAGGCAGGCAGGCAGACAAACAGACAGACAGAAAAATAAAGACAGACCGATGAGGACAGACAAACAGACAGACAAACAGACAGAAAAACAGACAAACAGACAGACGAATAAACACCAACATATGAGGACAGACATTCAGACAGACAAACAGACAGACAGGCAGGCAGGCAGACAGACAGACAGACAGACAGACAGACAGACAGACAAATAAAGACAGACTGATGAGGACATACAAGCTGACAGACAGACAGACAGCCAGACAGGCAGGTAGGCAGACAAATAAAGACAGACAGATGAGGACAGACAAACAGACAGAAAAACAGACAAACAGACAGACGAATAAACACCAACATATGAGGACAGACATTCAGACAGACAAACAGACAGACAGGCAGGCGGACAGACAGACAGACAGACAGACAGACAAATAAAGACAGACCGATGAGGACAGACAAATACAGAAAAGCAGATAGATGAAGACGGAGATACAGACAGAGAGACAGGTTCAGAAAGACAGATTACTAAAAAACAGATGAAGACAGATTTAAAATAAAACAGACAGATGAAGACAGAGATTTAGACAGACAGATTCAAAAAAAAGCAGACAGATGAAGATAGGCAGACAGATTCAGACAGAGAGGCAGACAGACAGACTTATTTAGAAAAACAGATAGATGAAGACAGACAGAAAGACAGACAGACAGACAGGCAGGCAGACAGACAACAAATTGAGTAAAACAGCCAGAAAATCATGATGCCTGCCTTAATTTCACAATAAAATTATAAATCCATAAAATTGAACAGTTAAATTCTGTAAGGTGACATTAATGTAGTTTACTGTGAATAATTACAGTGACATGTTGTGAAATTCTGGGAACTTATTACAGTGTAGAAGTAGAGAGACAGACAAACAGATGAAGACAGACAGACAGATTGTGTAAAGCAGACAGAAAGACAGACAGACAGAGTAAAACAGACAGCTCTTTTCATCCAGGTAAATGCATTCCACAGCTTACATCTTCCCGCAGTGGATTCCTTCCCTCGGGCATAAAAACACAGGAGTGTAATCTGACTCCGGCACACAGCGCTCTACATGTGTGTGTTTATAGCGTGCGGTTTTCCTAAGTGTGAAACAGTAAATCACGCGTGTGTGTGCTGTCAGAGACGCCGCACATCAAACAAGATGCTGCCGCAACAAACACACTCACACACTTTCATCACACGCATTTGGACTATTACACTTTTGACTGCACATATACAAAACAAAATGAACTCAGACTCAATTAATACACCAAAACACCACCATTATGATACAATACAGTGCCACACACAGTAAACACACATACAGTTGAAGTCAGAATTATTAGCCCTAAATTACTAGCCTCCCTGTTTATTTTTTTCCCAATTTCTGTTTATCGGAGAGCAGATTTTCTCAACACATTTCTAAACACAATACTTTCAATAACTTGTTTCTAATAGCTGATTTATTTTATCTTTGTCATGATCACAGGAAATAATATTTGACTAGATATTTTTCAAGACACTTCTATACAGCTTAAAGTGACATTTAAAGGCTTAACTAGGTTAATTAGGTTAACTAGGCAGGTTAGGGGAATTAGGCAAACGATGGTTTGTTCTGTAGATTATAGAGAAAAAAATAGCTTAAAGTGGGCTAATAATATTGACCTTAAAATCATGTTTAAAAAATTAAAAACTGCTTTAATTCTAGCTGAAATAAAACACGACTTTCTCCAGAAGAAAAAATATTATCAGACATACTGTGAAAATTTCTTTACTATGTTAAAAATCATTTGAGAAGTATTTAAAAAGAAGAAAAAAATCAAAGGGGGGCAAATAATTCTGACTTCAACTGTACATTTACCTTAAATCTACTAAAGGCAACATAAAACAATGATTACAACCAATTTCTATTCTCTAACCTGCTATATTTCTGAGAAAAAATAAAAAAAAAATATATATATACATGCAAGAAAAAAAATTATCTAATTAAAATAATTTAATAACCACAAAAAAGAAACAAAACTGCATAAAAACAACAAAAAAACTAAATAAAGACATTAAAAATATGTAATAAAATGAAAAAAAATAATTATTAAATGAGTATTTAAAGATTTTAAAAAGCAATTACAAAACATTAAAATCAATAAAGCTTAAAGTAATACATATAAATATATCAAATATAAAATGATCAAAGCATATGAAACTGACATAACATAAAAAGCTAAATAAAATAAAATTCATTAATGATTAATTAATTAGAATGACAAAAGCACATGACAAAATTACAAAACCTTCTACTAAAAACAAAACTAAAATTAAAATACTAAAATGATTCAGAAAAAAAACTGACATTCAGAAAAGTCACTAAAGCTTAATGTAATAAAGATAAACACATAAAATATAAAATGATAAAAGCATCTGAAACTGAAATAAAATATAAAGCCAAATAAAACAAAAATAAATAAATCAATAAATAAAAAATGCCAGAAGCACAAAACTTAATTACAAAATCAAATTATAAGAACAATATGCCAGATTTAGATTCGGCGAAATCTATAAAGCTTCATGTAACAAATATAAATATATAAAATATATATTGATAGTATTTCCAGCTGTATCCTTTGAAATTTGAAAATGATGTATGTGTGTTTTTGTAATTTGTTTTTGTTTACTGGTAGTGCTACTTGTTGTTATTATTATTATTATTATTTATTTTATATTATTTTTTACATTTGTTTTTTATTTTTTAATAACTGCTGCTTTCATTGACTGTTTAGTTCTGTAAAACAATTTAATGTAAAATGTAAAAAAAATACAATAAAAATAAAGCAAAAACAAACTTCTACTGAAATTAAAACACTATAGTAATATACCAGATTCAGAGAAAAATACAGTTTCAGAAAAATGAATGAAGCTTAATATAATAAATACAAACATAACATTTTAAGTGACAAAAGCATACGACACTGAAATAAAATATAAAGTAAAATAACACCTAAATATATAATAAAAATAATAAATAAATACAAATACCAAAAGCAGAAAACTAAATGACAAAAATGTCTACTAAAAATAAAATTAAAATACTAAAATGATATGCCTGATTCAGAAAAAACTGACGTTTAGAAAAATCAATGAAGCTTACTGTAATAAATATAAATACATAAAATCTAAAATGACAAAAGCATCTGAAACTGAAATAAAATATAAAGCCAAAAAAATAAATAAATAAATGAATAATTAAAAATGTCGAAAAAAGTATAACAAAATGACATGTATATACAATAATACGCCGTTCATTAATTAATACTAAAATAAATTACATTCATGAGCGGCACGGTGGCTCAGTGGTCAACACTGTCGCCTCAAAGCAAAAAGGTGGATGGTTCGAGTCCCGGCTCGGCCACATTTCTGTGTGGAGTTTGCATGTTGGTGTTTATTTCCTCTGGGTGCTCTGGTTTCCCCCACAGTCCAAACACATGCGCTATAGGGGAATTCGATGAACTAAATTGGCCGTAGTGTGTAAGTGTGTGTGAATGAGTGTGTATGGGTGTTTCCCAGTACTGGGTTGTGCCTGGAAGGGCATCCACTGTGTGAAACATATGCTAAAATAGTTGACGGTTCATTCCGCAGTGGCGACCCCTGATAAACAAAGGGACTAAACTGAAGGAAAATGAATGAATGAATAATATTTCACTCTATACCTGCAAGGATGTTGACACATGACAGGAAGTGATGTCGTTCACAGTGTGTGTTCCAGCGCTGATGTAAGGGGAGGGACACTGAGGTGAGTGGGCGGAGTCTGTTCTGCCGTAGAAAGCTGATTGGACGGTGATAGAGGTTCTGGGCGGGCAGCGAAAAGTCAGGAACTCTCCGTCACACGCCTGTTCGGTGTAATTCCTCAGCACACGGGACAGATAACCTGAGCACACACACAACACACACAACCTTTACCATGACAACAATCAGCAAATCACACGTCACTAAGATAAAAATTGATCTAATGAGAAATCTATCCAATGAGAATAAAAACAGAAGGCATATAAATATAATACTTCAGCTTTTGCCATTAAAAAGAAGTTTTAGGCAGCTTCAAGTAAAGAAAAATGGACCGTGGTTCCTCGTTAATCGCGGGAGTTTAACGTTCTAAAAATAACCCGAAACAGGTGAAATCCGTGAAGTAGTCTGCTTTCTTTTTTACATTTCAAGAGTTCACACTTAGCTGATGATTGATAATAAGGCTAGTTTGGCGAGCTGTCCCGGGAGAGAGCTCTGAGCTTATAAGATCCTCGAGCCCTGGGCTCCCTCCCGTTGCAAGGCGAGAAGGGAGTTTGAGCTCAGGTAGATCTCGATGACCCCCCTTCTTGCTTGTTGTAGCTAAGTGTCAGATATGGATGCTGAAAGGTGTACTCAGAGTTTAGCTAAAGTATTTTGATTAATTATTTAGAGTGCTTGTTTTTGAACTGTGGGAGGAAACCGGAGGACCCGGGGAAAACCCACGCGACCACGTGGTTAAACTCCGCACAGAAATGCCGTCTGATTTGGAAAGGAATTAAACCAGGGGCATTCTTGCTGTGAGGCAACAGCACTAATAGCTGGCCACCGTGACGCCTGTTTGAAAGGAGGGAAAGTAGGATTGGGTGGGGGGGTTTCTTCAAGACAAAGATATTGAGATGAGAAACGTCTGGTTATTTATAGTGAGTTAAGGATCGTCTGATAGGATAATCAGTCATTAGCTAAAGTTGGAACAGCTGTGAACAATCATAAGCACATGATCCTCTCGAAATTTGTTTATGAATAAACTTCACTTATTGTAGATGTTTTGAGGCTGTAAAATCCCTCGCTACACTATTTTCTCAGATAAACATTAACATTTTCACACTTTTCAAATCACTCAAAATCAAATTACTGTTATTGTCACATCATCGGCAGCATGTGTGCTATGATGAGTGAAGAGCTACAGCTCCAGCCAGTACAAAATACAGATGCAAATACAGTATAAATACAGTGCAAATACAATGACAGTGCACATTACAACAGCATACTCCTCAAAAAACAAAAAAAAACAAAAAACAGGACAATGTAAAATTGACAGCGATATGTGCAATGAATAGGTGTCCACATAGTTGTAGGCAGTATTGTTTCAAGCATGGATTGGTTAAAGTGCAGTGCATGCTACATATTGATGTAGTGCAGTGAGGGGTATGGAAGAGTCTGTGTGGGGTGTGTTAAGTGTCCATCAGCCTGATAGTCTGATGGAAGAAGCTTTCCTTCAGTCGGCTGGTGCGTGATCGGATGCTGTGTAACCGTCTGCCTGTGGGTAGCAGAGAGAAAAGTCTATGGCTTGGGTGGCTGGAGTCGCTGATATTTCTCTTGGCTTTCCTCATGCACCGCCTGGTGTAGATGTCTTAGACCAGTGGTTCTCAAACTTTTTTCATCAAATACCACCTCAGAAAGAATTGTCCCTCCAAGTACCACCATATGACCAGTATTGAAATACAGTAGCGTAGTAGGCCTAATTAAGCAGCTACAGCTCTGCACAGTTTAAAAACGTGCCAGATTAATTACTATTATTAATAATATTTTGTATTATTGGCCACTTTAAACCTTATAAATAGTTTGAACAATACCACTGCTGTGCTTATATGTAAAAAATATGTAAATAAATAAAATGTCAACGTTTAAATTAAAATGTGCTTTTGAAATTTCTTTAAAAATGGTAGGCTACAGTTCTTAAAAAGTAAAAAAAAAAATCTCCTGTACCAAAATGGAAAGTGTTTATAGTGTTTATGGATAGTGTTAACCTATAGTGTTATATTCATCAAAGCCTGGAAATGCTGCTTGGACCTCATAAATATAGGTTATATGTCATCATATTCATATACGAGCCATTTTTCATAAAATTATAAATAAAATTAAATATACATTGCATATACATATGACATATTGGATTACTCTGTGTACCGCTAGAAGGCAGCCCGCGTACCACTAGTGGTACACGTACCACAGTTTGAGAACCACTGTCCAAGACGGAGGGAAGCTCACCTCCTACTGAACACTTATGTAACTTCTACCTTTTTTTAGCATGTCCAGAACTTTTATGCGATGGTTAGCATCTTGCTCTGCCTTTTGGGTGCTACCGTGAGTGCCTTTGACGGTGCAGAATGTTTGGTCGTCATTATGGGGTTTGTTGGGGAGAAAACTTGTAAACATCCTGTGCAGCACTTCAGAGTCACTCAGCTAGCGATCAAAGATTCGTGTCAATTTGGCAAGCTGAACGCATTCTGTACTGTACAGGAGACACGGCATGGAGGAGATTAATTGACAATGGTCTACAGCCAATCCTGATGCAGAACACAATGCGCTGTTAAAAAAAAAAAAGCATGTCAAACCGCACTGAAAAAATCCATGAAACTACGAGACCCTGAAAGGTGAACTGCGTTATGGCAAGGGACCACTGTATAACTTACTTAATTGTGCCGACTGTCATTAAAATATTAAATGCTGGGTTTTAAGTATGAATAGAGTTAATTGCCTCGTGATTTACAGATGAAGTCTGAATTTTTAGCCCCCCTGTATATTTTTTCCAAAATTAATTTCTCATATCTGATTTATTACATCTTTGCCATGTTGACAGTACAGAATATTTCACTAGGTACTGCTATTCAGCTTAAAAAGACATTTAAAGGGTTAACTAAGTTAATTAGGCAAGTTATGGTATTTCATGAGCAATTCAGTGAATCAGACAGCAAATCTACACACATTACAAAGTCCTAGCTGCAGAGAAGGAGGATGCAGGTACTTGACTGGCCTGCCCGCAGTCCCTACCTGACTCCAATAGGGAATGTGTGGCGCATTTTGAAGTGCAAAATGCGACAACGAAGGCCACGTACTGTTTCCCAACTTAAGGCCCCGTTTACACTAATATGTATGTGTATGCATGTGTCAGAGCTCCAGGCAGTTCACCAAGGATCTTTGCTGGATCCCCGACTTTGGTCTTTTGAATCTATTACTTGTTCTCAGCTAACGCGTTTTGGCTGAGCGCAAAAATAAGTTAATATATTTATTTATTTAAGGCAATTTGATTTCCTTTATTTCCTATAATGCATAAACTTATTGTACGTTATACTGTTATAATGGCCATTATTAATTATTAAAACTGATATTCAGCAAAAGAGAGGGTATGTTTCGCATTTTCAATGAAAACGAAAGGAGGCAGTCATGTTAAAGGCTCCATTTTGTTATGAATATGCACACAGTGAAGATGACGCTCATATAAATATGTAGGGTCCGTCGCTACATGACGCCTCAACATTTTTGTCTGTTAAGTTGTTAATAACAAAATGCAAATAGGCATTATCTTACATTATCTGTTTTCATTTTATTGTTAAGATAGTGAAACAACGTAGCCAGGGAGATGCGAATAAGGTTATAAAGTACCTTTGAAGATTTACCCGACATGTCCTCGGGAGTTTGTTTTCGATATCAAATTTGCGAAGCCTCAACTTACAAGGATGCAGGACTGAAGTTTGTATAGGCTACATACTATTGAGGGAAAAGCCCCAATCAGAGAGGTGAATGTCTGCAGCCATGCCTTCTTTTCTGATGTCTCTGTTTTACCCTGTCCATCCTCTTCAGAGTTTTCAAAAAGCTATGTTTTCGGCGCTCGAAAACTTCGGGGTAGTGTGGGCGGAAGGCGAAACTTAGCTAAAAATATGCGTTTTAAAACAAAAATGTGTTAGTAAAAACAGGTCCCAAGACTTGTTCAGAGGATGAAGGAGGCAAAATTACACCTGAAACACTTCATCCCTTGGTGTCTTCAGTCCCTAAACGTCTTTAAGTTTTGTGAAAAGGAATGGCAACATTACAAAGTGGTAAATGCTTCACTACTCCAACTTTTTTGAAATGTGTTGTTGTAATACGTGTTTATTAAAAAAAAAAAAACTTAAAATTTAAAATATCACAAGCAACATATTAAATAATGTTTGTTGTATTCTCTGCAATGAAATACAAGTCGAAGTCAATTTAGAAATCACTACTTTCTTTTTTTTATTTGTGTTTTGCATACTGTCCCAACTTTTTCTGATTTGGGGTTAGGTAGACAGGTCTTTCCATAGTAGTTACATTTATTTATAAAACATTTCAATCAATCAATCAAACTTTATTTTTTACAGCACCTTATTACAACCAGGAGGCTGCCCAAAGTGCTTTACAGTCTTAAAAACAAAAATGTAAACATTAAAACACAATTAGAATTATTAGAAACAATTAGAAACAAAATTAGAAGAACACAAATGTCTATAAAACAGCATTTTGTACTAATGAACATCAAAAGCAAGTCTAAATAAATAGGTTTTGAGTTTAGCTTTAAATAGTGCCACGTCTGTAATGATGCGAAGTTCTAGAGGCAAGGTGTTCAATACTTTTAGAAATGAACGATCACTCCTGTCACGATTACCAGCGATCATACTTCATAGATCGCTGGATCTCAAACACAAACACTAATAGACTACAAATCCGCCAATTCTGGACTACATCTTCATACATGCACTTCACTCACACACATACACACCCTTCCTCATTCTGACTGATTACACTCGCACCACCTGAGGATTGTCAAAGACTGATTACACACACTATTTGAGCAGCACACACACTCATTCACATTGCAGAGTCTTGTTTATCTGTATAGTGACAATTCAACGAGTTTCCTTAGTCTTGTTGTTCCGTGTGTTTACCTTGTTCCTAGTTATCCCTGCATGCCTACCTACCTCTCGTAGTATAGTAACTAAGATTTTGTATTTGCCTTTACACATCTGTTTGCACTAGGGTTGTAACAATATACCGGTATGACGGTCTACCACGATTTGAACGTGCACGATTATCATACCATGAACAATTGCATATCAACGGTTTTAACCC